CACAATAACTGTTTACACAGCTACAAAAATTTGAACGCAGTTAATTATGTTAACTGTTCCTTAATGATGACACAACAAATTCAAACATAACGGCAACAATGAAAAGCGTAAAACTAAATAATTTCTAGCGATCAAATAAAAATTACTTTATTACCTTTCCTACCTCTTTATCTAATTATAGACCTGTAACTAATATTACTTTCATTTCTAAAATAATAGAAAAAGTAGTTTTTAATCAACTGTCATTCTATTTAAACTTTAACTCCTTGCTACCTGTATCTCAATCTGGTTTCAGACCTGCTTACAGTACTGAAACCTCTTTACTCAAAATACACAATGATATCCTTCTCTCTAGTGACAATAGTAATCTTACTCTTCTTCTTGCTCTTGACTTTTCCTCGGCTTTTGATACTGTTGACCATACTGTTGAGACTGTTGCATCATTCTTTTAATATTACTGATTCTTGTCTATCTTGATTATCTTCTTATCTCTGTAATCGTTTTTCTGTTGTTTTCAATAATTCTACTTCTAACTCCTCTACTCTTACTTTCGGGGTACCTCAGGGTTCTATCCTTGGCCCTCTTCTATTTATATTCTATACTTCTGAACTACCTCGTATTATTAATAACTTTTCTTTCTCTAGTCAACTATATGCTGATGATTCTTACATTTATACTTCTTTTCCTCCATCTAATCTCAATAGTGTTCTTCATAATTTATCTCTATGTCTTTCTTCAATTATTGCTTGATCTGATTCTATGTGTCTTAAACTTAATCTTTCTAAGTTTGAATTAATTTGTTTTAATAGAATCCCTGAAAAAAAGTCTTCAGGAAAAAAGTCTTCAGAAAAAATATTTTCGGAAAAAAAGTCTTCAAGTAAAAATGTCTTCAAGAAAAAATGTCTTCAAGAAAAAACGTCTTCAAGAAAAAATGTCTTCAAGAAAAAAAGTCTTCAAGAAAAAAGTCTTAAAAAAAAATTTATTCAACGAAATTACCTTCAAAACCATTTTAAAAATTATGTTTAGAGGTCAATGACAAATAAAAAATATCTCTATAAATGTCTATCGCATAAAATACACTTAAATCATTGGTAAATTTTTCCTATTTAACACAATGTCCTATGGCTCTTAAAGCCTCCAATGTAGATCTTCGGCCATCTCTAACGTCTTTGCACAATCGTTCCATTCTTTCTTGGAAATATTTTGACTGTCGTTTTTTCGGCTTATTTATTTGAATTCCTCGGTCAATTTGACCAATAGATGTAGAGCAGATGTTTGATCTTTTTTGATGGCACTGATTAAAGTCCATAACGATGGATTAAAATGGCCAATTAAATTGTGGAAACTATTATTCCAACCTTCACAAACGTTATTAGTTCTTTCATGACCATTTAATGTTATCGTAAAAACGTTCCATGTTTCGGGCGGAAATAGAGCAGGCATTCGAATCAACCTAATTTGGTTGATATTATTATTGTTGTTGTTGTTCCTGAAGGGCCCTCTATCATATGTTTTATCGAAATAAATGAAAAGATTTTCTAGTCCGGGCACATCTGGAATATTCCTTTCTAGGTGTTGGAGGGCATCATACAAACGGTTTATTGGCAAGAAAGCAATGCCATCTAGCATGCCAACAAAATGTCTAACATCATCCCTTTCTTTGTAAATGGTTGTTAGACCTAGCTCTGCTATCTGAATTTGAGATAACAAATAAATAAAAAATAAAAAATCCATAGCAAAATTTCATTCAAACAGGCAAAATAACAATTGATTAAAAATAGTTAACAAAGCATGCAACTATACCTTTCTCCATGTTGACTGTGTCAAATGGAAAAAACATCCTACAACTTCTACGTTTGCACCGAAGATATCATGTAAGGCACGTCTGGGGGCAATTTCGAAGTCTAACATAACAGTGGTTGGAGCCAAAATTATGTTGTGTTCTTGCGCCTTATCTTTAATTACCCTAAAAACTTCTTCATATGACGCCTGATTTCTTGATGTCATTAGGGCATAGGCGCATGTTACATAATGGTTAAGATAGGCAACTCTAATAAAGTACAGTTGGTGAAAAATATTTAGAGACAAGCTAAAATTACCATCCATAAACCATCTGCAAATATATAATAGTTAATATATATCAAAAATAAGCGAAGTGGTTTAATTACAGATGGAACTTCAATTTCGAAGTAACTAATTAATTTAATAAGCCGCATTCTTCCTAAATAAATAAAATGTAACTACCTAGTACTTCTTCCCATTTGTTGTAATTGCACGAATGTCGAAAAAACAATTATCCGGTTGAATGGATTGGCTCCACTGTCGTAGATGATGACATTTTCGTTGCCTTCTCTCATCTGCCAAGCTTTTGGTATTTCGAATTCTGTATTGGATGGTTCAATTGGAATATTTTTGCGGCGTTGGTTTCTAA